AAACATGTCAAAAGTAATGAAAGATTCCTTTAACGAATGATTTTTTTAATCAGAAATGAGATTCTGTTTCTCTGATTCTATTTTCTGACAAAAGAACGCAGTCAAAATGAAGTTGCCAGAAAACCGAAGGAGTTTGGGAACAGCCGGGTGGAGTTTGCAGATTTGTTTAGATCCATTTTTCAGTATATGTTGTTAATATTAAAAAATATAAAAATATATATTGAGAATGTATCAAGTATGTTGGGGCATGAAATATTTTTCCGGTACTAGAAAAATTGTCTGCGTCACAAATTATAGTACTTACTCTGTATCAGAAAAATAATTCATATTAAGTTTTGAGATTTGTATTATTTTTAATACAAATCTTAAAACTCAATGTAGACTATTTTTTAGAGACGGATAGAATATAATTTATAAATTACAATGTGAACTTTTATTTTAAGACGGTGGGATTATTAAGAAAATATTTTGAAAAGAATTAGTGAATATGATTAAAAAAGGAAAACCAAGTGAGCTTCCCCCTCTCTCTTTCCACCACTTTGGCCTGTATTGTTGCTGCAGCTTTATTTTACATTATAATTCATCGCCGTTCATTGTTAGTTGTTACTATGCTCTTCGATGAATCCTATTTCATTTTAGAGGTTTCACGTATAATTCTTTGAGATTTGTTTTTGAAACGGTAATTCTTTGAGATTTGAGTCTTAGAAAAACCAAGATAAAGCCATACATTTTAAATATAAATCCATTAAAATTGTACGTTCCCGGCCAACTTCTTCCGAATTTCTCAGATTCATCGGGCTTAATCTATCGTCAAGCTATGTTTCTTTGCTTGAATTGAAGCCTCCAATTCCAAATACATAGGTGTTCCAGAGACATTGACAACTCCAAAGATATAATATATATAAATACAAGAAATAAACTTTGTAATAGATGATTTAACGTAATTAATTCGTAATTTCTCTAATAACATTTATGTTGTTTATGGTTCAATTCCATGTTATTGCTCCGATCCACTCCACTAAATTGAGAAGGTTTGAAACATTTCTATTATAACTATTTTCCTCAATTTAGCCGCTCTCAGAATATCCAGCTTCTCTAGGATTCTCCGTTATTTAATTGAATATCCAAAATGCATGGATTATTTCTTCTTCTTCTATAAATTCCAGCTATTATACCAACCAATTCAATCAATCATTTCTCAATTCATCTTTCATAAATCTTCCCTTCCCTCTCTCTCTTTGATCAAACTTTAACATATGGCTGTAGAACCAAAACAAATCAAGTGCGTACTTCCAAAACAAAAGCTAATAAATAATATAACCAATTAATCAAAGAACTTGTTTACTAAACCAAGTTGTAAAACCTCGGCCACCGTGCCGCACAACTTCATAAAACAAAGAAGCCCCTACGTTCTGCCCAATCCTGATATGTCCATTGAAGAGTTTTAGAAGCTACATAGGGAAGGAGAATGAGGTTTTTTTTTTTATTTTATTTTTTTATAAACAGATACTCCCTCCGTCCCATAATTACTATCCAATTTTGATTTTTATTTTTAGTTCAAATTGTACTAAAAGTGAAATCTCAAACTAGACAATAATTTTGGGACAGAGGGAATATATTTCATTTAAAACATTAAAATTCAAATTACAGACATTAGAATGGCCTTAGCCATCCTATGCACATTTTCCACAATTATTCTATCTACCTTCTCAAAACTACACCGACTAAATTGACTTTTCAATCTACAAATATCATCCCCAAGAGCTTGTAAAGTATAAGGAAAAGCATTTCTTTTAAACCCAAATTTGCTGCAGTCACATTATCAGTTTGGAGAATGCACCATGTTGCTTGCAAACTTCGTGTTGCTTCTAGGTCTCTTAAAGTAGCTAGAGCTTCTGCTTGAAGTGGTGAGTGAGCATAAAAACTATAACACCCGTAAGCTAGACATTAACCCGATGGATCAATCACTTCCCAGGCTCCAGCTTCTTTTTGGTCTGACTCATTGTAAGCTCCATCTGTTCTGACATAAACAGCTAAACCCAGGCTGGTTTGCACTCTCTGCTCAACCCCTCCTTAAACATGCTGTGAGTTGTGTTTTTGGGTCACAAGTGTCGGCTGACATGCTTTAAAAGCTCTTAACTCTTGCCAAGCTCGATCTTGTGTCTCGATTTGGCAGTTCTTTCTTGTTATTCCAAACACTCTCATTCCGTGCTAACCAAAACCTCCAACAAATGAAAAAAGAGAATTGTAAAGATTCTTGCTCCGGAGCTGACAAGATCCAGTCATTTGACCATTCTGGGAATGTAGAACCAGAACCTTCATCAAAATTAAATCCTAGTGAAGAGCATCTCCAAACTCTTTTCGAAGCATCACAATCCAGGAAAAGGTGTTGTACAGTTTCTTCTCCTTGACCACATCTTGGACTTATTGTTGAGAGCTTGATTCCTCTTTTGCTCAGAGCTGTCAAAGTTGGTAATGCATTGTTAATTAATTGCTCTCCAAAGTGTCCATTGAATCTTGGATGGGAGTTTAATTCTCCAAAACTTTTTCCAACCCAATTCTGGTAAGAAACCATGTATTAACCCTTGAGCTTGATGTTGTGACTGCCTCTCTCTGATTTATTGCTTCAAAGTAACCAGACTTCACAGTATACTTTCCTGAATTTTCTCTAGCCCAAATCAGTTTATCTTCCTGAAGATCTGGATTTGATGTAATGTACATATCCAGGATCCGTCTTGTCATTTGGGGGGAGGGGGGACATAATGTTTATTAATGGTATTCTCTAATTATAATTTTCATCCATGAGATCTCGACCTTAATTTAAAAGGCCGCTCCGCAACTGGTTGTCCATTAAAAGGTACGGTGAGAGAGGACACCATTGGCGTAAGCCTCTTTTGGGAGCAAACCAATCTGAGTTCCATCCATTAAAACTTATTGCATATTTCACAGTCGAGACGCATTTCATGATAACTTGAATCATATTCATAGGGAACCCATTCTTACCAAAATTCGTTCCAAAAAATCCCAAGACATCTGATCATACGCCTTACTCTATCACTTCTATCACTTCCAAAAAATCCCAAGCTACAAACCCATTTTGATTTTCATCTATCACTTCTCCCGTCTTATTCTATTAGCTAATGCCTTTGCAACAATCTTATAGAGCACATTACACATGCTGATCGGGCAAAAATCGGCTGCTGAAGATGGATTTCTCTTTTTTGGTATAAAGACCACTTTCGTATGATTCCAATCCTCCCACCAATTCTGATTATTCAAAGTCTGAAAAACTTTTGGCAGTAATTTCGTCTTCACTAAGTCCCAATAATATTGATAAAATCCTGTTGGAAAACCGTCTGGACCCGGTGATTTCCATGGAGACATTCCTTCTATAGCTTCCCATTGTTGGAATAAATCCAAATACTGAAGAGACCTCCATATTAGATTATTGAGAACTATACGAAAGCGGAAGCGTACCTTAATTTGAAGTGGCAAGAACATCAATCCGGTTTGGCCTTCCAGATGATTCCGTCAAGCCCTTGCAGGAACCTCTAACAAATGGGGAGTCGAGATTTTGGCATGACGGCTCATCCGGGGACCACAACCAATATATAATAGGGTTTCCAGTTCTACCCATCACAGAACAGGAAACTGGGCCTTAGGGTTTCTACACAATACTGGGCCACACCTTATAACTTAATTATTATAATCAGCCCAAACTTTAGTTGATTTAATTAGATCACTTTATGTGGGCTAGTATTTTATGATAGCTTATAACATACAATTATATATATTAGTGTATAAAGTCCACATAGATCTTACACCCATATCTCTTATTCTGAATAGACCTTTTCCAACTCTACTCTCTGCTCCTGAGTTATCCATCTTGATATAAAATCCATGATTTTAATACCATAACCCCAAATCTCATCATCATTCGGTTGGAAATCGTCTTCCACAAAAACCGATTGAAAATGTAGGAGCATAATGGTTTGGATTTCGGACTGTGAGTAGCACCAGACCCCATGGTCATTTCTTAAGCCAGAAATCCAGTTGCGCCCTTTCCTCTTTTGTGCCCACGAATGAAAGAATTTAGAATTTCGATCACCATCCATGTTCCATTTCACCTTTGCCCTCTGCTTCCAAAACTCATTTTGGTAATCCATTAGTTTTTCAATCTGGATTTTTGTCTCCTCGATTCGGTCCTCATTGTATATAATACCCTCCCCAGCTTGGAGCCGCTCCATTTTCTTGGTGTAAGTCTTGATTTGCCTATCTAGATTCCCAAACGAGCTCTTGTTCGAATTCTCCAGATGCTGCATACTAATTTCCAAAAGATTTGTAATCTCCTCTGGTGAACCTTCAAAAGAAAATTCTGCTTGTGCCCAAATTTTTGTTAGGATTGAGTGTGGTGCCTCTGTTTTGCACCAAAAAGCCTTAAACCTCGGTATTCTTTTCAAAGAGACAGAGTCATCTTCAGTATTTACAGATCAGGCCTGCCCCAATCTCTCTTTTACCATACTGAAATTTTTGTATCTCGTCAAACGTAGAAAATTTTTTAGAACATAAAATTTTTGAGATTATGTACTAAAAAAAACTAAAAATAAATAAAAGTGGCTTTTCTCGAATAAATATTTCTTGTTTCGTATCTCTTGTTTGGATGTTAACCAATGACTAGAATTACAGGTTTAAACTTTTAAACTACAGTTTCTTATTATTACTATTATAATGTAGTAGTTTTTCTTATTATTAGTAGTTACTACTACTATTATTTTCTTACCTTAGTACAGAGTAATTTCAATTGGTCTTTAGTCAAAAGTTCAGAAAGATGCAATCTTTGTTGGTTGACATATCTTATCAGTTTCCAATTTCCATCTCCAGTTTATCCATTCCTTTTTGCTGGTGGGTTTGGCTGGCGGAGGGGAAATCCTGCAGTCAGATAGGTGGGTTCAGTTTTTTATCCGGTGAGAATTAGTAAAATTGTCTGTCCACCAACCATAATGGCTATGGCGGCAGCTGAGAACTACTGTGGGTTTTTTTCAGCTGTAATTTCTCCATCCTCACGTAAAATTAGTCCTGGTAATAGTAATAGTATGTTCGGAATGAGAGTAATACTGGGCCAACGCGGCCGTGCCGGAGTTGGTGGTGGCGGCGGAATGGTGGTGATGATGAATCTGATTAGTGAACCCGATTACTTTGAAGTTGGGAGGCTAATTGGTAGCTATGGCTTCATGAATATCACTAGGTAAAAATGACCATTTTTTCACATACAACTAATGTGATAGTTTTATTAATTGGGTGGTGATGAACAAATGTTTGTGAAATGATTTTATGCTGCAGTTACTCCGGTGGGTTGCAATCCTCATTCCGGTCACCGGAATATTTGAAACTTCAGGATGTTGGAGAAGGCAATGTCGAGATTAGGTCTTTCTTCAATTGAAAGTTTATTTATTTATTTTTGTTTTTGTTGCGGACTGGGTGATGATGGGATGTTGTTATTTGCTGCAGGCTTTATGAAGGAAGATTAGTGCAAGGTCCAAAAAGAGGCACTCCTGTTATTTTTAAGGTTCTTCTTCTTCTTGTTGCTTTGATGTGAAGTGAAATTTTCTTTATGAATGTCTTACCTCCAATACCTTGCCTTGCTACATTTTGCTTGTTTTCTTTGTTTTCTGCTTTTGTCAAGTATGCAATAATCCAACTGTTTCTAAAATTAGTAATGATGGGGGGTCAGGTTTATCCAGGACAACAAGTTGGAGGAATTGAAGCTGATGCTATGGCTGCAAATGAGCTCAGTGCTCATGCATCCCTTCAACAAGAAGGCCCTCTTTGCCAAAATATCCAACTACTTCTAGGTGGATTTGAGACCAAAACAGGGGAGCAGGTTGGTTGTTTAGTTCTTTCCACCTTGTACATGCCATTGATGGGCCTTATTTTCAGTGTCTCGTCCTGAGTGCTTTCTCTTCGTTGTCAGTGGTTGGCTTTCCGCAACCATGGTATGTACACTGCTGCCGACTACGCCACATTTGCCAGCAAGAAAATGTCGAAAGTCTCCTGGAATCCTTTTGAAAAAGATGTAACTCTTGACCTAAGGAAGTACTTTGTTACCAGGTTGCTTCAGGGTACTATACAAGCTCTTTCGTACATGCATGAACATCACAGGTTGCATCAAAGTCTAGGACCTTATTCAGTTGTTCTCAAGTACGTATGCTTCTTAATATAAGCCTTTTACTATTGTCATTTGTTCTTCAATGCTTTTTTTACTCTATGCGAGTAGTTGAGGTTTCTCAAATCACAGTACAGTGGCTGAAGAAGAGGTTGTATACCTAATTCCAAGGCTTCGTGATCTTGCCTTTTCAGTTAATATAAGGTAACCTGGCTGAGTACGTATCACATCATTGTCAGTGTTTCTAATTACACCTGTGGCTTGGCTATTGATTCCTTCAACGTCAACATACCCATTAGTATCATGTTTTTATGTCGTTTGAAGTTTTGCACTCGGGCATTTTCCCTAGGTATCCAAAGCCACAGGATGATTTGATATCTGAAGGGCTATGGAGACGTGCCGCTACTGCCGGCGCCTTTACTCCTTTGGATAAGAGGGCCTTTGGAATAGCTGATGACATGTTGTGAAAAAGAGTGCATCAAACAATATCACTTTTTCTTTTGCTTTGTACATTCACAATATCTTAGATTAACTGATTGTGTTTCTTTTCTTTTCCCTTTTTTTCTTTTCTCGGCGGCAGTTATGAAGCAGGATTACTCTTTGCTTACCTAGCTTTTGTTCCATTTTGTGAAGCTGGAATCATGGATAGTCTGTCACTGCGAGTGCGCCACCCTTTGTCCATTCTGTTGTCATGCATAAAGTTCTTAAATGATTGGTTGCCTCGCTTACAACCTTGCCATAATCATGCAGAGGCTTTTGGAGAACACGTTCCAGCTTGATCTTGAAGCTGCAAGAGAGTAAGAACCTTGATTGTATGGAATGTGAAGGCTGATGCAGTTGTGTTGTAACTAATATTCATGGTGATCCTACAACAGGAATGATTATGATTTTGATTAGGAGTGTTCCTTTTGTGTGTTCAGATACTGTTTAGCGGATGATCGTTTATCAGCAGCAGTGCAGTTTTTGGATCATAACAAGAAGGCCGGTTGGGAGCTACTTCAGGTCATTGTAGTTTTATAAATTGACCTCCCTTTAGGTAGGTACCTAGCAAGATTATCTTAATTGAATGCTGGATTGTGCAGGCAATGCTGAATCGGGACTTTCGGAAAAGGCCAGTTGCAGAAGCTGTACTAAGACATCGGTTCTTTACATAAAGCTCCAACTTTTGACTTGTTAAAAGTTCCTCTTTGGGCTAAGGGTCATATCTGCATGATTCAATCAGGCATGGAGTAGTGCAGCCTCCACAAATCATGCAGTATATCTTCTAAATTTTGTCTTGCAAAATTCATAGTCTCTTGTCATCTATGTATGTTATAAAGGGATTGTGAATGTGAACAAATCAACCAAGGTGATTCAGTCGCATTTTATGTTTTTCTTGTAACATACATACAAACAATCCATTAAAAACATAACCATTATCTAAAGGTTTGCAATCTAATTATCTATCGTACACCCATCAAGAATTGAAACGAATTATCACGATGATAAGAAAGTTCATAAAAAAAAATTGGTGAAAGATTAGTTTTTGATTAACTATGATAATTAAAATACTTGTTCTTAGAATTAAATTTTTTTGGGAATAACTTCATTGATTTCGTCTAACATTAAAGAAGAAACAAAAAAAAGGATAAAAAAGAAGACCAATTGTACTTTTTCACTTCCTTTCCTCAACAGATAGTTTCTTCTCGGTTTCTCCGACTATCCTCCGGTGAAGCCGCATGCATATCTAGCGCCACCCACAGTCACGGCGGATAACCGCCGGAGCCCCTTTTGCTCTTTCTCTAGGATTCATCAAGCGTACTCATATAAATATGCCCAAAATACCAGAACAGTGAATTCCGGAACCCTTAATGCCATAGTAATTTGTAAAGAAGAATGATAAAAATGAGAAAAAGCTCAAGTCTTGGCCAACCAAATCAAAATGCTGATTCTGGAGGTACTCTTTCCTGTCCCTTTCATTTTGACAGTTGCTTCTGCTTGCATTGGCATTTCCCTCTTTATTTGGTACCATCAGCAACTACTTGACCCTCTGCTATGTTAGGATTGTTTGCTAAAAAATTTCTACTTTTTTTTTTTTTTTTTTGCCTCAAGAAAGATGGCTAGTTATGTTGCTGTTTTGTAATTATTGCTCTGTAAATTATTATGTAGTTTGATTTCCTTGTATGCCTTTATTTGGGGGCACACTTTATTATTTCAATCCTAGAAGAAAGACTAGGGAGATAAATTGACTTTTTTGGTTCTGAATCCATTGGCCTACCTGTTGACTGGGTTAGTAGGAGAAGATGGCCGACTCCCAAGTGGAATGTAGAAGAACTTTTTATATCATTCGGTTCGTTTTGATGGTTTTCCAGATAATGTCTTTGAGCATTTTTAGCCCTTTGTGTTCTGGTGGCTTGTTTGGTTGCTATTTCTTTTTGTTCTGTGCTTTTGTTTGATTTATTTGGCTGGGGTTTGTTGTTATGCGATCTTTTGCGCTGTTGAGTGACCTGCACTCAGTTTCACTTACATGATCCCTGGTGTTTCCAAAGCCACTGTCCTTGGGGAGTTGAATCCTGAAACAAGAAATAATCCGATGCTTGTTCAAGGTGATCAAGGGGCATTTGGCACATCTAGTATTCCCCGTGCTTCTCCTGTGCAAGTGATGCTGGAGGACCATCCTTGCCTGGATACTTCTCCTGCCCCCTCTTCAAAATGGGGAAAAGCTGATAGCCGAAAACGGACTGCTAATTTTAACCTGGGTGGTTATAAGAAGAAAGGTAAGCCAGTGTTTCTTCCACTCTGGGTGGATGCAGAGGAAAACCGTACTGTCTTCTGTTTCAAACCTTCAGACGTCTTGGCCAGGGCTTATGAAGAGTGCAGCTGCTTGCATGATGTAGAATTGAGAATCCAGGCTTCTCCAAGTTCGTCTGAGGTTTGTAGAACAAAGATGTCACTCTTCCTAAAAAATCATGCTTTAATTTATTTCTAGAGTTATTATAGTTATTGTACTAAGCTGGTAATATATCCTTCCTCTGGGCATTTGCTTAGATGCAAAGCTGTCTCTCTCGTTTCAAGGAACGAGGAGAGTCTGCTGAGAAGAGGGCCATAGAACTTGAAGCCAAACTTCAAGAGATGGAAGCTGCCGTGGATGCAGCCTTGGAAATGTGGGGTGACCTGCAATGGGAAATGGAAGAACAGGGGAAGAAATATGCCGCTGATCTTAAATCCCGAGAAGATTATATTTTGCAACTGGAAGGAGAGTGTGCTAAATTGAAAGGTGAAAGGGGAGTATGTTTACGGAATGAAGCCTTGATTAAAGCTGCTGCGGTGGATGAAGCCTTGAAAATGTGTGATGACCTGCGGGGAGAATTGGAAGAACAGGGGAAGAAAAAACCCGCTGATCTTAAAGCTCGGGAAGATTATATTTTGCAACTGGAAGGAGAGTGTGCTAAATTGAAAGGTGAAAGGGGAGTATTTTTACGCACTCTTATAAAAAAGTTTCTGGAAAGTTATGGCTTCATGCAGTTAATTGGGAAACTGGCGAATCCAGTATTAGCATTGGGTCGGCACCAAGCAATGGAGTGATTATCCTCCCTCCAGAATCTACCGCATTGTTATTTGCATGGTTTTGATAAGTCAGCCGAGAAGAGGTTAGATTATGCAATTTTCTCCATTATTAAGGACAAAAATGTTAAGTTTCCACTGATAGACTATTTGGCGGGTTGTTCTGAGCCTTTATCACTGGAAGAATTGGAACATCTGGAGGAAGATCATAATGTGGAAATGGACAGTATTCCTACTGTACCAACGGACAATGATGAGGCTGTTCCTTTTGACATGGAAGATGAGGAGTGTTATCGGCGAGCAGTCATGGTGGAGTTGGAGGTGGCAACTGAGGTGGAGAGGGTTCCAAGTCTGGCTGCTTGCTTGGCTGGAGACGTCTTGTCCTTTGACAGGGGTGAATATGCTGATGAGGCGTCGGAGTCTGAACCCCAGGTTGAGGACAGGAGTCCACTTGAAGTGTTGGTTCCTGGGAGGAAGAATAATAGTACTGATGCCGCATTTTGTGATTTTGCTTTCAAAATTGAAGTGAACTGTCTTAAGAATTCATTTGAAGAAGCCTCAGCAGCTGTTGAGTTTTGGAAGAACAAAGCGGTTGCATGTCAGGTTGGATCTGAAGAGTTAAATAAGAAGCTTGCGGATAGTTATAAAGAAAAATTGGAGCTTCAGTCGGAATTGCGAGAAGAGAGGCAGAAGAAGAAGGAGCTGGAGGCTCGATTGGGGCAGTTGTCGATAGATCGAAATTTCTTGTTGGTTGAGGGAATTCCCATGGAGCTCGATTGGGGCAGTTGTCGATAGATCGAAATTTCTTGTTGGTTGAGGGAATTCCCATGGTGACACGTAAGTTGCTTAAAAGCGGTGAGGTGTATCAGATCTTGCGACAACTCTGCGAGGAGGTTCTGGCAATAGGACAGGCCAAGGTGGCGCGTAAGTTAAGACGGAAGTACTTCCCGGAGGTCCCAATAACGGATTTGCCTTATAATTACACGGGGAAACCTACAGAGAAATTGCTAGCTATTTACAAGCAACTGGCAGGGACCAAATACAAGTATTTAGAAGATATCGCTTCTAATCCTTGTTTGTCCATTGAAGACTTCCGGAAGCTTAAACCTCCAATACTCCCGAAGCCATCTTTCCAACCTAACTTCAGGAAGGATAAAGATGATGTTCCTCGGCCTCCTCCGGCAGGTGAAGTCTAGGGGCAATTGTAAGTAGATTTCTTTTCCGCCATTTTTTGTGAAATAGGGTAGGTTCTCCCCACCCCAACCATCCAACCTTGTAGGGCAGGTTTAAAGCTGAAACTCTAGATTACTAAAAACAGTTCATGACCGCTTCAATCTTTGAAATGTAAATTCTGAAGCCCAAAAAATCGAAATACTTGGTTCTTGATGTCTTAGGGGAGTAGTTTAGAAACTGCTAAAAATAATGAGATTCTGCTGGTGACAGTTCCTGGCATCCTAGTATCCAGCATATATGTTCAGTGTTCTTTATCAATTCCCCCTGGCTGGATTGGAAATTGGCGTTTCTGTAGCCAGACAAAAGGTATTCTGGCTAATTCTTTCCATGGCTGTTTGCTTTTCCTCTGGTTCAGGCTAATATAAGAATCAGCGGCATGCCCAAATCATCAATTACTTTGTATTGTTTCAACGATTTTAAACATTTAGACCGGTGCAATCCTCCCACAAATGAGAATGAGAAACAACTAGTTAGAACATTTAGCTAGTGACAGTTCTAATTTCTTAAGTGAGAGAAAAAAGTTGCTCAATGATCTGAGTAAATTCTTATCCTGAATGAAACAGACTATATTTTTATTTGACATTACTCGTCATCAATAATCCAATGATTTTGAATAGGCCATAGTAGTTCTATCCTTGGAATATGAGGTGATTGCAAGCAGGCTTGTCGGGTGTATTTCTGGGGTTTAAGGTCTTTCTGACTACTACTAGAATCAATTCTTATTCAACATTTCTCTGAGACATGAGCCGGTATCATCTCCCTCGACTCCACGGCAGGTTCTTTTTGTGCTGGAAGTGCTTGCATTGCCTCCATATCTTCAGCAGCTTAGGGCTGAACTTCAGGATTTTTTGGAGTGCAAGTGCGAGCTCTGCACGCATGTACTGATTTAAGTTGCTGCTTATGGCATGGCAGAAATCTGGGATTTTGATCTCATTGGCCAACGGATTCTAAATTTAATATTTGTTGATCACAAACTGAAGTTAGAGGGTGAGCGGCAATATATATTTGTTTATTATGTTTGAAGCCTCCAAGAACTTTGTTGAATGCAAAGATGAAGCTCCTTAATTCATCTGTAAGGTGGTTTAAGAAGAATCTGAGCAATGTCAAGGCTGTCCAATCTGAGTTTGTTGTTCCGACTTAACCTGACTCCAAAGGATTGAACTTTATGTTCTGTTCAGCAGGTGATTCTTCGTACAGTTCTTGAGAAATCATACACCGAGGAGTTTGTGGCGCGCGAAAAAATGTGTGATTCTTTCTCTCAGGTTCAAATTGGTAAAGAGGAGTTTTCACAAGGCGCTGAAGAAAAAGCAAGGGAAGACCCGGGTATGGGCGCTGAAGTGTCTCGCCATGGAAGTTGATGACAGCATTAGAGGTGGGGATTACGAAGAGGAGATGAAGTCTGAGAACAAGGATTACTAGCCATCTGATCAAATGGCATCACGGGAACTGAAAGTGTCAACATGGAGGTGTTGCCGCCTTTTTTCCAGTGGAGAAGTTGCTTTACTAGGTCACTGATAAGAATTATGGGTATGATATTTAACACGATGAAGTGAATTAAATTTATCCAGTAGAGTATGTTATCAATATCATGCTTTTCCCCTTAAATGTTATTTCATAGAGTTTTGTTTCGGTTTTAGCTTGTTAGTCCTATCCCCCTTGAATCTGTTAACTGCCTGAGAAAACCTTGTTTTATTTATCACAGAGTTTAGTTGCTGCTTTCATAACATGGAGAAGAAACTCAAGTGGAAATCCTTATTTAGTACTCTCTCTGTTCCAAAATTATTGTACAGTTTGGATTTTTTACTTTCAGTTCATTTTGTACTAAAAATAAAAATCCAAACTGGATAATGATTACTGGATGGAGGGAGTAAAACTTTTGTGATGTATAGATTCGCTTGTCGGCTTGTGACACTTGGTTCTAGTATAGAATCATCTCAAACACTCAAGCAGGATCAAAGTCGTTAATGCAAGGCAACTTTTCTTCAGTTCACCAAGGAAGAATGATTAGGTCGACTTTGACATCGACTTTGGTAAGCCGAGTAGCCGATGAACAAGTTGACACGAGAATTTGGGTTTTGGTTTCTCGCCCATCATCCATATTCCATCCGTACAAACGTTTTTTTCCCCCTGGAAAGTGGAAACAGCAATACAAACGTATTGGTTTCATCATGTTATGTATGGAACGGCAGAAAAATTCTTGTCTATGTTCTGGCAAATAAATTAAATTTGAACAATACCGTTCCTCCTTCTCAAAAAAATAGTCAACAAAGTGGACTATATTTTTGAATAAAAAGAGCATATAAATAAAATTGACCCTTACAAAAAATAAAAAATAGATATAGATGGTTAGTTACTTACCAAGATTAATTTTTGAAGGTTCTTAAATTATACATTGTTGTATTAATTTATTTTGAACCCACATTAGTATATGTACATGGAAATATGCTACGACATTTTTGTTTGGAATTTTTAAATTGTAAGATTCAAAAATGAATTTTTATATCTTGCTAAAGTAACAAATAGGTATGATGTGTTTCGGGTGAATTTTATACAACATTTCTTCTTATTCGTGCTTAGACAAATACTGCTCGTCATCAATAATAACAAAATTTTAAATAAATCTCAGCACTAATATCAATGAGAACTCTTATTTTAGAACAGAGAAAATTATACTTCTAATTACCAATTTTTAGGAGCTAATAATGAGAGAGGACAAACGATATGGAGACCTTTGAGCAACCATTGTTTTCGTTCGTAGTCATCTCTTTCGCGGCTTTTTTTTTTTTTAAAAAAATACCTGTGTATTAGTTAAGAAGAGATACATATGTTTTTACATCGTATTTGATTGAATGCTAGATTATGTATTTCAATTATGTCATGTGTATTTACTTTACTTAGTGTCCTGTGTATTAGTTAAGAAGAGATATACATATATATTTATTTTACTTTACACTTTATTCAGTGTACAAGACTGAAATGAGGAAATTAAACTAGCAAAACAATAGCCTCCTGAACCTCCGAAGGCGTTAAAGGAAATATAAATCTTTGGTAAAAGCGTCACAATTCGTATAAATCTGAAGAGTGATTTCCGAATGTGTTGCTTCTTTCGCGCCATTTTATTTTCAGCAGCTGTAATATACAATTAATACATATAAATTCGCTTCTTCTTCTCTGAAACTCAAAACCAACATATATCGTGCACGCCCAACTTACTCGACGTAAAAATCACAAGAATCCCATGTCATACATAATTAAGAATGCTGTAAAACAACCTTAAACATGTATACGGTACTATAATTGCATATAGAACCAGCATAAATTCTATCCAGTCTTTTTATGTTTTCAAAATTAATTATTAATTAATTAGAGCCGATAGAATTTTTTTCCCCCAAAAAAGTGTCCCAATCAATAAGATATATAAACCTCTAATATATATATATATATATATATATATATATATATATATATACTAGTGATGTCTGGTTGCGCAATGCGCGACCTTGGTCCAATATACCTGTAGATCTTAGAAATATTTGTATCTTGAAAAAAATATTTTGTATTTGGCCCGATATAGTTTAGAAATATTTGAAGAATTTTAGAAATATTTTATAAGTGTGATGTTTGTATTTGGCAAAAAAAAAAAATTATATTTGACCCGGTATGTTTTATAAATGTTTGAAAATTTTAGAAATATTTTATAAGTGTTACTTCTTAAATATAAATAAACTTGATCAAATATATGTCTTGAAGTAAATGCTAGACAAAATATAAAAGCATCCTAATAAGTTTAAATATTAGTAAGATAATTTATTGATGTTCTCCATTGGTTGTGCCAAATCAATACTTAGTTTTGGAGATTTATAATAGCTTTGTAGTTAGCTTCCTCCAAAGGGTATACGCTTAATTGTTGGAATTATTTCTTTCAAAAGTTTATAAGTAGTAAAATATCAAAAATATGATTTTGAAACTGGTTAATTGTTGAAACTGGTTGATCACAAATATGAGAATGAAAATAATGTAAATTTGCATAGGTTTCAAGATATAGATAAAAAAAACTCACCTCACCATGACAAATAGAAAAAAAAGAAGTAAAAGATAGCTCATTAAAATTTGAGAATTTTTATTTTTTTTTTGTAGGTAAAAATGATGTATAAAAACACAAATAAACGTAGAAACATCATTCCTTCCCTCTCCACCTCAAATTCATAAAAGGATTCCCCATAAATTAGTTAAAAGAAGCGACCTGGACTATTTATATGATGAGAAACTAAAAAAAGTCCAAAAACCAAATCCAAAAAAGTATATTCTGGAAAACCCGAACACAAAAAAAGAAACGTGCTTCATTTGCAAATAAAATAATAATAATAATAATAATAATAATAATAATAATAATAATAATAATAATAATAATTGGTCAACTGGGAGTATGAAACAAAATAAAAAACAATTAAACAAAGAAAAAACACACTTCATAATTGGTCAAAAATATACGAAAAAAAACCTGAGACTCCATAATTAAAAAAAGAAAACCACTCTAATTAATTGAAACATAAAAAAAAAAA